GTTTTAAATACATGTGCAGATTAAATCTCTGAGAGGTAACCAGTCCTACTCTACAAAATGTGAAAGTTTATTAACAAACAAAAAAAGTCTTGACAACCAATGTGAGAAATGGGGAAAGCCTCTGGAGTGTGTGTTTATATGTAAAATTGTGTGTGTGTGTGTGCGCGCCCGCGTGTGTGCGCACAAGGGGGATGATATTCAAAAATCAAAGCATACGTCTTACTTGAAGCTTATTTAATTCACTTTAACCAGGCAACTGAACCTTGAAATTCACTTTGCCCACGTTCTTCTTCCTCCAGCCTCCTGCTGATCAGCCACCGTACCCTCTTTGAACTGTACTCTGGCTGTTTGCTTGGCAAATAAATGCTGTTCCGCCCTATTAAACCTTTTAGGTAGTTTCATCTTCGGATTTCTCAAATACGGAACTAATAAGGGGGTGCTTTGATGCTGTTTTACTTTCAAACTATAGCCCTGAGGCGTTAAAACGCGCAAAAGGTAACTGGAAAAGTAAATTGCCACGAGCAAGGCGCACCTCCCTTTCAAAATCGCTCCGACCCTCCGCAGAGCTCCGTGTGGCAGCCTAAAATCGGAACATCATCCTATGCCTATGCAGAAGTAGGTCCCGTTGGCAGCCCCTAGGGTTTTGAACCGGTACCACTTTACCAGGAGGGTGAGGAGAGGAGAGACACTTTTAAGTTTAAAAGCCCTGAAATCCCTTGGGGGAGGGGACAGAGGCGTGGTAGAGACTGAAAAACTGCACAGGTTGATTACAGGCAAACAAGTATCAAGTGGAAGGTGAAGAATAGGAATCAGGCGACTTGTTTTAGGCTTTCCCTGATAAGTTCTGCGTAAGGCGTGGCAGTGGCGCCTGACAGTCCTTACAGGCGCTAAAACTAATTTCAAGCCTCAGGTTCAGGTTGCGCTAAGGAGAGAAGACACCGGCGCGCGCTCATACCTGGAATACATTTGCTTCCCGCCGTCCGAAACCCGCGTGGGCGCACAGGCACACGCACCCACACGCGCACGCGCCGCCTTATTTTATATAAACAAATAAAACAATTGGAACACATTCATTTTATTTAAAACAGGGATGAAAGCGTCTGCCGGTCAAAGGCTGACGGTCTCATTTGGGTACATTTTCAGAAGAAAGGCAAGTCCCCGGGAAATAGCTCCGCACAGTGTCAAGTGCACCCTGCCTGCTTTTTTAAAAAATGCCTACATTTCCATTTCTAACTCATAAAACACATTTTAAGATTGCGCAAGGCTCTGGACACTTGAGCTCCAATGCCAGCCTCAAAGATCCTTGTCACATTCAGCTTCTCTTTCTTTCTTTCATCACAACGATTTAGTAAAGTCTCACAAGTGATCAAAATTAACATAAATCATTATTAGTTATTAGGATTCGCTCTAAATTACACTGTGAATATCGCACCAGCCCCATCTGCCGCCCCTGCTCTCTCAGTAATAGATTGCAGATAAAATAAATGTCCTTACCCCATTAGAAGGTTCCTGTCTCTGTAGCCAAAAGCCAAACAAAAGCAATAAATACCGGGCTTTTTCTCTCCACTATTCAGCTGTGACTCTTTTCATCAGCTCTTCCTCTAGAAAAGCTCAATAGCTGCCTGAAAATATTGCATTTTATATCACCAAAGGGCGATTAATATTGCATTAACTGTATTTAACATTTTTTAAGCTCGAGTAATCGACAATGAGTTTCTGTTGGTAAGTATAAGGGGCATCAGAACTACGGCAGACCACTTCGGATACCCTTATGGATGTATTATTTGTCTCACACGTTGTATTTTTAAAATATAGTTAGTGTGTTCCGCGCGATGTTTGAAGTGGAAGAAGCCGCGCTAATGGTCTGCTTAAAGTATTCTGACACTGTCAGGAGACGGCCGGGTCTCTGCCTTCATTAAATGTTTATTGTCAACACTTGGCGGGGGCGGGGAGTAGAAGAAAAAGACTGGTGTAAGTGAATTTCCACGGCTGGAAATTGTCAACATTTTATTTTATTCTGATCCATGTCCACAAAAGTTTGTATACGTTATGCCGCGCTGAGGTCAGGCGTTCGTTATCAAACAAACTTTTGTTTATGATTCATTTCCCTTAATCGCTGTAAGGAGCTTGTTCCCCTCCATCCCTCCTTTTACCAACTCTCCTGCTAGCTGCGCTCGAGTCCCTCCCGTTTCCCTTCACCCGTTCCGGTCTTCCTCCCTTCCAAACCCGGAAAGAGGCGACCTCTCCGGACGCGGGCAAGGTCCCCAGGGCTTGCGGGAGGCGGACGCTGGTCTCCATACTTTTGCTCTGCCAGCTTCTCGCAAAGCCAAGATTTTCCATCTTCGCTTTGAAATTTAAGATTACCCTAAATTCCCGAGATGAAAACCTAACAACCAGCCAGCTTTTCGCCCCAGGGTATAAATCCTTGCCTGATAAACCCAGGTCTGCAGCAGAACTTTGGTAATGTTGCACCTTAGCAACAAAACAAAAGCCAAGATCAAGATCGTATTCCTCCCAATTCTTTCTAAAACTGTTTAAAGCAATTTTGAAAATTTTGTGGCGTTTAGGGGGACTGTTGACTTAGGCATCCTGGACATGTGGGAGACTGTTTAACCACTGTGAGATTTTAGTCCATTACTTTTTCTTTCAGAAGGTCCTCAAAGGCACGTCGGAGTGGGAGGGAATCTACAGCAGCTCCTAACTTTGAGCCCGGGAGGGGGACTCGATGAGCTCAGCGCGCATGTGCGGCTCGGCGCGCTCCCCGTGCTCTTCGCGCGCGGCGTCGGGCCCAGCTTCCCGCTGTTGGCACCCCAGGGCCAGCCCTGCGCAGGCGCGCTAGAATGCCCGCGCCTCCTGCTGTTAACTTGCTCAGGTCGTCCAGGACTTGGCAGAGTCCCAGCCAGGGCCGGGGAGGAGGCTGCCCCGCCGCCGTCCCAGCCAAGCGGAGCGGACACCTCCGGCAGCTAGAAGGCCCTGGGCCGCAAGGCTCCGGGCAGGGGGCGGAAGGTGCAGACAGGGCGCGCCGCGGCTGGTTGGCGACACACTGGGTGGCGCTGGGATCCCAGGGTGGATGGGTGCCGGCTGGGACGGCGGGTCCTCTCCAGGCTGCAGATTCGGCCCAATCAGCTCCGCCTGTGGTTTGAAATGGCACACGCCAACCTACACGCCCCAAAGTCCGAAGTTACTCGGAGGAGGGCCGCGAGGCCGCCTCGGAAACCCCCGCCGGAGTCCGGGGAGGCTCGGCAGCTCGCGCCTCGACCTGCGCCCCGCCCCGCAGACCCGTGGGCTTTCGACCCGGGAGTCCGGGAGGGTCTCCCATCAAGCTGACTTGACAACAATTACCAAAGTTTTTAATTAGCTTCTTGTTATCATTCATTTTATTAATTTCCAGAACTCTGAGGCCATGAATTATGCAGGGAGCCAGGCAATTCCAGCAGGGCGGCCGCGCGCCCCCGCCGCACGCGCCCGGCTGCACCGTGGCCGCGCTGCTTGCCCGCTGCAGGGTGAGCCGCCCGGCGCCCCAGCCTCAGTAGTGAGAAGGTTTGATCAAATATTAAATAACGTAATTATCGCGACAAGGCTTCTCTTGCAGGTGGAAAGAAGCCCTCGTGAGAATTAGATTTCGGCTGCTAGTTTTGTTGTTTTGGGGTTTTTTTTAAATCAATTAAGCTCGCGATCTCCTTTGAAACAGCCCGGGAGGATTATGTGGCTCCTTTCTGTCTTCTCGGGGCTAAGAGTGCGGCGGCAGTAACACCGATTGCAGAACTTTGTCAATAACAATTGTGGTCATCGCTTTTATTAGCACTTTGGAGCCCAAAGCCATTAGAATGGTTTGGGGAACACTGGTTTTAGCCAGGGACAGAGCCCCAATTTCAACTTCGCGAACTAAACTATGGAAGCCCATCAACCTGACAGGCAGAGCAGGGATGGTTCCTTCACGGGGAGGTCGGACAGGCCGGGCGATGCAGGCAGGGCTAAGGCCCCAGCTAAGCAAGTGTGTCCTCCCGGCCTGGGGTGCCTGGTCCTCTCTCCGCGCGGCTGTGTGGAAACCGGACCCAAGCAGTCTAAATATCACAAGACAGTAAAAATCGATACAATCTCGGCAGTGGGTGCCTACGGTTTATTTATGAGTGTACAATCGAAGTTGAGAGCAATTTTCAAAACACGCATTAAACAAAAATCTATTCAATAGTTAGTTGATGGATTTTGAGGACATCATTTCTTAGACCTAGAGAAGGAGCAGGACCCAGTGCAAGGCTGGGGAAAAAGAGACCATTTAAAACGAAGGTATGGTATGAATGTGGCAGACGCATTTTAATGCTTTTCTTTTGCCTTTTCTACTCCGTCGCCTGGGCTTCCTCAGAAGCGCAAACGCAAACGGAGCCTAGTTTTGCTCCCCTCTCAAATTTATTTGGAGATTATTCTTTGAAAGAGTCATACATTTCCACGCACTGACAGGCACGGAATTTCTCTTAGTGAGAAGTTCAGCTCTTCAGAACCAGAGAACTTTGAAAGGCCAAACTACCACTGAATGGCAAGCTTTTGCATTCTCTTCAGAAGGTTATTTTTGTTTTTCTTCAGATTTGACAGTTAAAGGTATTTTAAAATGGTCTTATTATTCTTTCCCGCTGTATACAGATTCGCTTACCAAAAAGCAGAACAGTTGTTTTGCAGAGTTTCCTACTACATAAAATAGGAAACTCTGCAAAACATGGGTTTTTTCATGATGTTTTATTAACATAAGTCTTCTCTTTACTTGTTAAAGATTTTACTTAATACAAAACAAATGCTTAAATTTTTAATACATACATTATCCGTTATTATATAATACAAATGTATTTGCCTGCAACATTTCTGTTTGGGCAGATTAAAAAAAACCTTTGTAAATATTTTTATTTATTCATTCCTTGTTCTCCAACAATGAAATCTGGTCATATTTTTTTCTATAAAATAATGTGGTCTTTTACAAATGTATTTTATTAGAAACTTATATGATAATTCAAGTCAATGACAACAGAAACAAATCAATTTTGATGAAGAGATCTATTTTTAAAAAGATCTAGTGCTTTTTAAACATTAACAACTGTTTAAAATCACAGGTTTTAAAGTGTACTATTCTTTTTTGAACATCAAGTGTTTTGTTTCACAGATTTCCCGGTGAAATTAAAGAGATTTAGCTAAAATAGGATGCCTTCAGAAGATATAATCCCAGCTAGTATGAAACTTTGTACATTTGGCATCTGATCTAGTCCCAGGGCACCAAGAAACAGAGACTCTGCGATCATCATCGTGGAGCAATAGGTAGCACACTGAGTGTTCTAAATGAACAGAAGCTTTTGACAAGGTATCCGGACAGGTCAGTAGACGGTTTTAAATTTATTAACCCTCAAAGAAAAGCAATTTAGTTACAACATTTTTAGAAATGTTTTTAGGCTAGAACAGCACATACAAACCCCTAAATGTCACTGTCCCTGACCCTCAAATATTTTTCGGGTACCTGGTTATTATCCACCAACTCTGATGGAGTGCTGTAGTTTAAGAGTGTTTGCAATTTAAAAAAAACTTTGATAAACACAATATAGAATTCATTTTATTCAGAGCACCACTTTTCATGAGTTATCTAAAAGTGAATTCTAATTAAGCAAAAAAAATCTTACTTTTTTTAAATCCCCCTTTCACATCCTCCCTATCTACCCCCTTTTTTTTTGTTTTATTTTTGTTTGGTTAGGTTATCTGGTTGAAGTGTCCTCATTTGTTGAACCACTCTACCAGGACTTGGCCCGATATAAACACAAAAATGGACCCAAATCATAAAACTGCTCTTTCAGTTATGTTTTATTTGTAAGTGTACTGGGACATATTCCCCTCTTGTATTTTGGTGCACAGAAATGATTCTGATAGAAGTGCGGGAGGAGGAAAGTAATAGAGAGGAGACATAACCAAGGAGAAAGCTCAGTAGATACACATGGACAGGTAGATCAATCCGTGAGACATTTCAGGATTAACACTGGCAGTTTGTAACCACTGTGTGAATGTGTGCATTAAATAAAATATTTACAATAATCTTCCTTTTTTTCTTTTCCCTCTAAATACAAGAATATGACACGAATGTTGGGTTTTCAGTGGACACAGGCAGTAGACTGTGAAATCACACTATCCACAAAAAAACGGTCTACCAGAAAGCTAGCCCAGATTAGTGCTCAGTTTCAAATGCATAGAATGTTTGCGCTGCAAACAATGATATACAACGTAATTAAATAATGCCTATCCAGAGTGAGACCTAATTGTGTTTCTTTCTGCACCTTCCAGGTCATGCATGGTATCAGTCTTGTTAAACAGCAAGGTTTTTTCTTTTCCCATTTGTTTTGTATTAATTTTTTAGTTACAGTTAAATGATGGTAATAAACCACCTCCACATGAGATCCAAAGAGTATCTTGTACACAAAGCAGGCATTTTACCTAATCACCTTTAACTGTCTCTTTTTTGATCCATCAGCAGCTTATAAGGTTAACTTGATTATTATTATGAAACACTATACATGATTTTCTATTTGGGAAACTGATAGTGCAAATTAAAGTACTTGCTACTCAATATTTATCCCCAGTAATAAATAACTCTTGAATAATAATAGCAACAAAAAAGAAACAGTTGTTCTGCCTTCCCCAAGGGAACATGCAGACCTCTTTGAAATAAATGGAGTAGGGGGAGGGCCTTTAAATCTGTCTTCCTCTCTTCCGGGATTTAGGTGATTTTCTCACAGCCAAGTCCTGCCCCAACTGAAAGTAGAAACTTCTCAACATTTCAATGACTCCAGGTTTTCCAAGAGAAGAGGAAAGGGGACCTAGAAGAGCAAGATGAGTCTTATTCAGTGGAGAAGATGGAAAACGGAAGGATATATCTCTCCTAATGTCTTCCAACCCATCAATATATTTGAGTCTATAGGGGGGAAAAAACCCAATAAATAGTGTGAAAGAAGCCACTCTCTGAAAAATAAAGCGCAAGCTAAGGCAACGCCCTGTAAGAGGGTGGAGGCTTATTTAAAAATAGTCCATTTTCTAAATACTGTAATTAGACATGAGAAAACAATCTTGCTATAATTGCTTTATTTTTCTTAGAATAAAATATTTATCTCAGAGACCCTCAATTCTTCCCTTTAAACAGCTCAAAGACTCTCACTTCATAAAGACCCAGACCAGGCCTCAGGACTGTAGCTACTGGGCCACTGGAGAACTTAGGTTCCACCTAACCTGGCGGCCCATGGCCCACCTCCCAACCCCAAGGACTCCAAGCTGTGTCCACACTCACTGCCCAGCACAGCCACTGTGGAGCACAGCCACTGTGGTGCACAGCCACTGGAGTCCCATTGGAATGTGGAAAATAAATCAAGGAAGATGTGGATGAAGTGGAAGTGAGATTTTGAGGGAAATTTTAAACACGCAAAAAGAGAACTAGCTTCACTATCCAGAATTTCACTTTCAGGTTAATTTGGTTTCTGACTCAGTTCATGGGTGTAGGGTTGGGGCGGTGGAAATCAAGGTAGTGCTCTTTTCTCTCTTCCATGGGGGCAGGTAAATGAAGCTGCAGATTACGGCTCCCCAAAGTTAAATCTAAAGAATTTTTCTTTGCTCTTGTTTTCTTGTCTTTATTTGTCTAGTTTTTGGTGGTTGGTGGGTTTGATTTTGTACATAGTTCCTTGGTCCCCAAGAGATTCTGATAAATGTCTCTGGTCAAAAACAGTCCATTTCCCAACCCTTCCCACATATCCCCCCACCCTAACCCCCAGAACCATCCTGCTCCTCAAAACCCCAGTCCACTCTCAGATCTTTCCCCCCACTCCCCACTCACCTAGATGCTCCCCCTTTTCCCCTACCACCCACTCCTTTCTCCACTTCCAGCACCCCTGTGCTCTAGGCCAGGAGACTGGGGACAGTAAGGGCAGGGAGAGCAGAGTGGGGCACAGGAAGAAGACTTTCCAAACGAAGGCAGGACAACAGACACTCCAAAGGGCAGAGGAAGCAGGCCAGAGGAAAAGCCCCCTGAAAAGCCCCCTCAGCTCCCGCTCTGGCCCGCCGGGCACCTCCCGCCTCCCTCAGTAAGTGGCTGAGAATTTCATCCGCTTCTGCTTCTGTCTCTGGTTGCAAAACCACACCCGCACCACGTTCTTTTTGAGGTCCAGTTTCTCAGCGATGGCGGCGATCTTCTCCGAGGACGGCCGGGGCTGCACGGCGAAGTAGGCCTCAAGGGAGCGCTTCTCGGGCGCGGCGATGGAAGTCCGCTTGCGCTTCTTCTCGCCGCCGTTGAAGAGCTCCGGCTTGTTCATTTTCTCGCGCTGCGCGCCCTCGGCCTCCTCCAGCCATGCCTGCAGGATGGGCTTGAGCGCGATCATGTTGTTGTGCGAAAGCGTGAGCGACTCGAACCTGCAGATGGTGCTCTGGCTGAGCGAACCCACGCCGGGGATCTTGAGGTTGGCCAGCGCCGAGCCCACGTCGGCCTGCGTCACGCCTAGCTTGATGCGCCGCTGCTTGAAGCGCTCGGCGAACGCCTCGAGCTCGCGCGGGTCCGTGTCCGAGTCGCAGATGGATGCCAGGCCTGCCGCGCCCACCACGGCCGCCGCCGCCGACGCTGCCGCCACCTGCCCGGCC